TCGCTACAAGCATGCTTAGTGTGAGGGATTGCATCGGAATCAATGAGTCGATGCAATCAACTGGTTTTCCTTAGATATAAAACTTTGAATCAATTTGACTGTATGATCTGGTGAACTGGAAAGTGCCTTGAGATGACATGTGTTGTAAATTGGGGCTACATAAATAAAGTGAATTGAAATTGAATTGTTAAACTCTGAGGGGGCAGCGTCGAGATGGTTTCAGAAGAAAAATTACATAATTAAAAAAAAAATGAACAGCAACATTAAAACAGCACCGATCGTTTTAAACTGGACCTTTTGGAAGCAAAAAAAAAAAAAAAAAATGGGGTGATTTAGATTTTAAACTAAGTAATACAGAGGGAGCATCTAATAAGCCAGAACTGTTGTCAAACTACCTGGGATGACTGTGGGCGCCTCCAGCTGACAGGCACCAGGATGGTGTTGGAGTTTGATCCGGAGGAGGTGGAGGAGGTGCTTCGTGTCACAGCCATCGCTCTGGCCTTCCCCTCTCTGCCCCCTGAACCCTGAAGCCCATCAAAGCGACGCCCGATAACTGGTGTCTGTGAGAGCAACAGAAAGCTTGCTGTAAATCATGTTAACTTCTTCTCCTACATTTATTTCAGAGCCTGTCAATTTCTTATGCTTCCATGTTGCCTCAAGTCACCTTGAAATGCCAGAAGACTTATTTAAACATTTTTACGCCAAGTCTCAGTACCTTCTCAATGTACTAGTTAACCTAAGAGTGTCTTGTGCTTACCTCAGAGATGTCAAAGGTGAAATCTAGGGTTTTCCCCGGCAGAGCCTTAGCTGAACCGTCCCATACTCTGCTCACCTCCAGGTTGGAAAGATCTCCCTGTGTGTGGATGTATGACGGATGTACTAGACTGGCAGAACGTGACACCACCAGCTTTAAGATGTTTAAAGCATCCTTCCAGTGTACGGTCTATCAAACGGTATAAGAGAGACACCAGATCAGCTTTTACTCTGAATTCTGTTAAAGAAAGTAAGAATAAAGACACAAACTACGGGGTGAATCTTACATGGACAAACTTTTCGATCGTCTTCATGACGTCACCGTTGAACTGTTTGACTTGAACAGCTGTGAGGTCCATGTGACTGAGCAGACAGTAGATGATCTGAAGGAGAGGCAGCTGCATGCCGGGGATGCCCTTATCCAGCAGCTGACAACACAGATAATTTGCTTAGTGAAAAACAACTGCAAAATTCCTGATTAGTAGGTGTGACTCTGCAGAAAGTTTGAAATGTTCTACCTCAGCCATATAGGTGACCATGTTGAGTGTAATATCAGAGAAAGCCTCGTGGAGGTAGCGGCAGACCACACTGACCCAGGAGAAGGGGTCCCGTGTGTAGGATCTGGTCTTATAGAGAGTCATTACATGTGCCAGATGGGACAGCTTGGTGTTTTTCTCCTCCAGACACACCTGATAAAGAAACAGGTTTTAGAGTCACAGACCCAGACATCACAGAGAAAAGTAGAAGCAGTTTTTATTTTTTCCTGATACATGGGATCTTTTCTCGGTTTGGTCATTTCCATTTAATTATCCAAAGAATATTTTCATCAATTAAAAGCACGTTAACAGGACTGTTAAAATAGTTTAAAAAGGAGTCCGAACATCAAATCACCTGTGCAATCCTCTCAGCGCTCTCCTTACAGAACTGTGTTGGATGGCCAAAGTTCTGCACGAGGTGAGGCAACAGACACAGCACGTTGAGGGGAAAACCTACACAGAGAAAATAGGCTGATTTTACCGCAAATAACAGAAAAAAAAAACATACATTTACACACATAATACAAATAAATAAATTTTCTTACAAATATTCCTTCAGACTTAAGTTTAATTGTTTTAGGTCAGCTAGAAAAACTTTATATGCTAAATAGAAAAACAAGATGTAATTCTCCGTTTGGTTCCCCTTGGTTTAAAGGAACTACGTCATTCAAAAGCAACTTGTTTTAACTATATTATTGCCATGATCTGTTGATCTGGATTTTTGGTTGTGTTATTACTTTGGGTTTTCAGTTACACTTTGATTCATTCTGTGTTTTCTAGCCATTGGTTTTTCTACTTTCGTGTCCTTTGAGTATATTATTATTATATTATTATACTATATTATACAGTATTGCAGTCCCTTGTTACCCTCTGCCCACCCCGTCAGTGCCTCTCTCCGTCCTCTTAGCTCACTGTCAGCTGCTTCTGTCCACACCTACTCCCAATCATTTGATTACTCCATTCATTGTTCTGTTGCCATATATACTCTTCCTCTGCAGTTAGACCCTGGTCAAACCTTGCTGATTTAGCGAGCGTATGCCTGACATCCCATAATCTCCTACAACACTAGCATACGCTGAACTTTCTATGGATTAGTTCTGTTATATTTTTGACAGAAATCAGGTCTAAAACTCTGAGCTTAACAGATTGAATAATTATTATCATCTCAAGCACCCAGGTATTCATGTTCGATGATTTCTTTGGGTCCTGGACTGAAAAACTTTGAAGACCCTTAACCCAGCTCATATGTCTTTGTAAACTAGGTTAAGAGGTGGTAGAAAGACAACGGGAGTAATGAACTATCAAACATAGAAAATGTAGCGATGTTTTGATACAAAATGTGGACAAAAAGCTGATTGGTGTGAAGCTGGAAAAAAACACAATTATTTATTATAAAAAAGATGGAATTTATGAAAATGAGCTGACAAGCATTTTAGAGAGGAAAAGATTTGTACTGCAAAAGTCCAATTAAAGTCAAATTACAATCTGAAAGCACTCCTGAACAAAGATCACACATTTGTAAAGGAATAAAACTAAACCTTGTTTAATGTATTTTGGCCATAATTGGTCTGATTTGAAGAAGGTGGGGGGGGCAAACTTCACTCAGGGGAAAAGGAAGTCTTGCAGCTGTAAAATGAGGGATGCAGTATGAAAGTAGTTGGGTGTCGCCCGCATTCTTCTGTCATTTAGAAATTAATAAAGTAAACCTAATTGGCCAAATACAGTTAATATTTAGTCTGATAACATGCAAAACATTAAATATAAAAAAAAAATGTTATCTACATATTGTACATATTAAATGCCTGCTCAGAGAACATCATAAGCCAAATGAAAGCAACACACCTATAGACTGCGAGCTATCAACAACAGGAACTCTTGAGACCGGCGTAAGTTGGCAGAACAGCTGTAAAGTCAGGTCAAACGTAGTCTGGGAGGTAAAACCTTTCAACAACAGCTGCTGAATCCCAGAAAATCCACTCCATCTCAACTGAGCCTGCAGCTTCTCCAGTCGCTCCCGGTTTTCTGCTCTGTCGAGGGGCACCTGCAAAGGAGCAGATGGATGGATGCTCAGTTAAAGAAACAAGAAATAACACTGCTAATCCTGCCACGCTTTTTATAAACATGTATTATGCAAAATTTGGTTCCCACTGGAAGGATGATGGAGGACAACTCAGTTTTATCTACCTTAGACAGCAGCTTGTGAACAAGTCGAAGAGACATCTGGTATTCAAACTCAAAGTCAGACTCCATGAGGGACACGGCCACCCAGAATACGGTAGCCAGGATGGATGAGGGATGGGAGACGTGTGAGGGATCCGATAGGGCGCTAGGATCAATGCGATTGGTCGAAGATGTGCAAGACCCCGGGGTTCTCGCTACTCTGGACAACAGACCATGACTGTTGCAAGCCTATAAATAAAAATGCACTCCACAGTTAGAAATACAAAATAACTAAATATTTTCCCAAATATCAAAGACAGATCAGAAAGCGGTATTTCTTGCCTGTATACGATCCAAAGTCGCACTGCGGGGGGGATCAGTCGACGGGTTACCACACTCGCCGAATTTCTTGGGGACAGAATAGGAGCGTTGGTGGCGCTGCGACGAGAGCCCGGCGAACCCAGGCCCAGGGAAGTTCAGCTGACCCGTGCTCTTCCTGTTCATCAGCTTGTCACTAGTCACAAAGTCTGGAGAGGACGTCCTAGAAATAAAACACCACCAAAGACAGTTTAGCACCAAAACTGTCTAATATTCAATAAATCATTATTTATCATCACTCATGAAAATGTAAAAAAAAAAAAAAAAAGGAGGTGGAAGCACCTCGTAATGATATAATGTTTTCACACTTTATAACAAGAAACATTGACTCATCTTGTTGGGATGATTTTAAAATTGAATAAAATAGTTTAAAAAATGTGGTTATAAAACAAAATTCTAAAAAAGTGTGATGCACTTACTTTTAATTTGGCTAAAATTTAGAGTTTATTCAGATCGACAAAAACGTTTAGAGGGTAAACACTGTCATCCTAATGCTGGAGGGTGAACCTTTACCAGTCTTAGGTCAACAACATTGATCATTTTTATTGTTTTATGATTTATCCAACAATCAGGAAACTCATTATCCTTACAAATCTAACATCATTTCTTAATTAGCCACTTTTTGATGTTCAAATACATAATAAAATAGAAACAAATAAGTACAAATTGTTTAATGCTGAATTTAAAAAAATAAGTATTTGATTCTGTATGAGATTCGAAGCCTGACTTTAACCCTGAGGTGCAGCTGAACCATTATTGAGCAACAGATTTTGTACAGTGACAAACAGTCAAAAAACAAATATTTATTATTATATCCCCTGAGTATGTTTTACTGTGCTAAAGTACTATTAACTATTGAGGATGCTACCTTGTGAGAGCTGCCATAAGGTCACTATTCTTCAGACATTCTGCCAGGTTCACCACCACAGCCTCCAGAGTCAACAGGACCTCCATCACATAGCCCTGAAACACATACAGCCGTTAGAGAAATAACTCAGCCTTGTCTCAAACTGGCCTCATACAACGAGCCTGAAATTCTCTCACCTGAACCTCGTCACCATGCTCTCCCACCACCTCGACGAGACGTGAAACCAGGTCGGAGACGGCGTGGTTATTGATTGGCTGTTTGAGGGCCCTAAAGATCTGGAAGGAGCGGCCAGCGTAGTGACGCGACGAGCTGCACAGAGCCGTCTGTAACGCCACATCACTCAGCTGCTGCTCCAGGTGGAAATCTGGACACAAAGATGGAAGCACTGATCAAAATAACACATTTATAATCTTAATTAAAATATTCACCTCATTCCATGCTGCTTTTTGTTAATGCTTAAATGTTTCAGATTGTGAAAAATGTAAATATATGGATTTCATTTGGCATGACTATAAACAAACTGTTTAAACATGGCCGTTTAAAAACAATTATGGAAAAAATGAGCCATATTTTCCCCACAGTGATGTAGAAGACTGATAACCTAGAGGGCTTAATGACAGCTGTATGGCTACAACTAACAATTATTTTGATTTGTTGATTATTTTTCTATTTATTGGATAATATTTTGGCAGTAAATGTGCTATATAGGAGATTATCAGAGAATGCCACCTGAGGAGATCCGTAAAGAGCAAAGAAGCTTTATCATCCTAAATCTAGCCTTGGCTAAATCACTACTCATTTAATTTGTTGTTCTTTCAGCAAATGCTCTTTCTTAGAGTTTGAATACTTCATTCAATGATTAATCGGTTTCTGAATCAGGTGACGATTGTTTCAGTGATCAATTGGACCAATGAATCCCTTTAAGGCGTGACTCCGGCAAAGGTAAAGAATCAAAAAATGTATTAAAAATATTAAGCTTTGTCTGGGGTTACTTGACTTGAATTAATCCACTTTTTACATTTTTGCCTATTTAGACTGGGACTGACAGGAGGCAACGACAATCAAACAGCAAAAACAACTGTTTGTTTGAATCACTACATTTGCGGGAAGTCACATACAAACATGATAAATCTCTGCAAACTTAAAAGTTACTTGTGAGGGCATTTGCATATGAATCTGTGGGATTACTGAATTAAAAGCTGAGTACCATTGGGGGCATAACCAATTGTTATGTTTAGGGACAAATCCTTTTTCACACAGAAACAGGCGAGTCTGAACAGACATTTTTAAATTAATTGTCATGTAGAAAATGTTTTTAATAGTTTGATATTGAAATCTGAAAGATAATTTGAAACATTTAAATATAGATGCTTCAAATACAGATGTTTATATTTATATATAAATATCTATAATATTAAAACTCATTATCTAAATATTAGTAAATGGCAACTTGAGTGTTTTCTCACCAGATTTGGACTCCTTGAAGACAGAGACTACATGTCGTAGGAAGTTGGAAAGTTGTTCCGTGCTCTTTGAGTTGGGGTTCTTAGGAGTGATATCCTCATGCGCCCACAACGGCCCGAAAGCTCTGAGCAAGAACAACACAGTACTCCAGGCACTGTATACCCACCACCAGTAGCACCACGCACAAATTACACCAGCACTTAAATATGCACACACAGAGCAATGGATGTTTTCCCCCACGTCGCCTAAAAAAACCCACCAGCTAAGGGTCTCTGTGGCATTACCTGGTGGAGAGGAACTCGATGAGCTTGTTTGTCTTCTCGTCCGTCTCATTGGGGGCATCTTCCAGGTCTTCCAGGTCATTGGGGGTTACGAGTGGCAAATTTCCAACGCTGCCTCCGGTGCTTCCACCGCCCAGACTGGCAGAAGAGGAGTTGGAGGTAGAGCTGAGTCCGGAGTCCACCACGGGAGACGTCTGCCACTCACGCAGGAAGTCAGGTGCTTCTACAAACAAAAGCATAAACTATCAGTAATATTCTCCTGAATAATAAAAAAAACCTGTAAATTACTTACGTGACTGCTGATACTCTGAGTGGTAGCTGGACTTTATGGTAAGAGTCTTATTGTCTGTGATTTCCCTTGTCAGCATCAGCACTGATGCTATTACCTGCAAACAAAGAAATAAACAGTTAACAGTCTTGTTAGCAAGCTAGAAAACAGGGGTTTTTAACATATCAATGTGTTCTGACCTGGAAGTTGTTGTTACAGGAGAGAGCAATAAGGAGGTGAAGAAGGAGGCGTTTGCTGTGTTCATAGACCTCTGGTCTGTAGTGGTCAAGACCTGCCAAGACAAATAAGCTTTTTATAAAAACAAATATACTGCTTCTCAAAAACACACGAAGGAGATGTTTTCTGCATGTTTGCTATAGCAACACGCATCCACAATGACAGTCCTAATCTATTGTTTTTACAATGCTGAGATGGCAGTTCTGCAGGAAGTGAAGAATATAGCCTTAGATTAACTTCTTTGGAGAGTAGCAAAGCACAAGCTAAACCTAAATATGCAGAATGTGTCTAACAGCATCTCTGCACAGCTGACAGTGTGTTTTTCTTTTCTCCATTTCTGTTAATGGAGAATATGTACGTCTTGATATCACAGAACAGTTTCTGTAAAATCAGAATGATAACCTCTATGAAGACGAAAACAAACGTACTGCTACGACTTTAGTAGCTTGTAAACACTAATGCTGATGAACAAAACTGTTTTTTTACTTGTTTAGACGATCCTTTACCTAATTCCACCTTAACCTCGATTTATAGTTGTTCAGCATAAAACATGTAGCAGATGCAAAATGTGTTTGTTAATACCCACCTAAGAAGAGGGCATGAAGTAAGAGAGGCAGGTGTAAAGCCCAGTCTTCTCTCACGCTGTGGTCCACCACCATTTCAGTCATAAAGATCACGGCAATATTACACCTAAACATCAAGACAAAAGTCATGAAAACAACATCAGTGAACAGGTTCTGCAAATTAAATGCTCAGAACTGGACTTTTTACACAGTAAGGAAATGTTGGATTTAATCACAGACTATGACTGGACCTTTCCAATAATTAATCAATAGGCGCTGATGTAAAGGTTTTACTGGAGAGCTACTGTTCTCATGGTTTAAGATGCATCTTTTCTCCTATATAATGAGGTTAGGAGGTGATTTAGACTTTTGATTCAGGTGTGTTCAAGCAGAGAAGTATCCGAAAGTTGCAGGATAGTGGAGTTGGAAACCCCAGAAATCATTTGACCGTACATCCAGTTTTTTGTTTTCTTTTCCAAAAGCAATTAAACAGGTCGATTTTTGATCCCACTTTCATAGTTTCTACACTAATTTGCAGAGCATTTATTCCAGCAAAATATACGGATGATAGAGGAACAAGTTAATATTGTGAGGTCTTTTTCTATAGCCCTCAATGATTGGTTGAATCAAAACTGCACAGACACTGAAGATATCCACATAGCCATTACTGTGTCATTACAGTCAAAGAGATGAGTGCCAGCAGTTTAAACAAGGAAGTAACTGTAAACTGCTTCATTTGTCACTCAATGAAAACTCATTAAGTCTTTATCCATGCTGGAAATCATTTAGCTTTCCAATGAAAATGAACTAAGCAGAAATTCCTAAGATATGCAAACTGCTCCTTAAGGCTTCACATCTCTTCTGTTGTGTTACATCAAAAGGTTTAACTTAACATCAGCTGTTAGGATAAACTGGAAACATATCATGCAAATATGAACAATATAAACTCCAGGTGAAGGAGGAGCTAGTTGAGGCCTAAAAGGCAATCTCTTCAGAGCTGTAATAATCATCCTGCAACACTACAGCTGGTGTATTTCTAACACTTCTCTGTATTTCAGGGTAAAGGATTCCTACCTATGCAGAGGCCCTCTGGGAGTGATGGTCTCTGGAAGGTAGTCGACCAGAGGGGCCCAGCAGCCTCCATTAACAGGCATCGGTAACGGCTGAGGACGGTTGGTCTCTAAAACACCGAGCAGCCAACCAGCGTACGGCGGCAGAGGATCAGCTGCAGGAAAAACACAACAGTCAACTCAGCTTTCTTTTTTCAAGGCTAACAGGAAACTGCTCCGTTACAGTGTTTTATCCAGCAACAGCTGCTTCTCCCCTGTTTCATATCTAAGATTTTCTGCACTTTTCCAAAGAGAGTACAAAGAAATATGGGAACCATGTATTAGATTAAAACCAAAGAACAGATTTATTTAGTTACAAATCAAACATGTTTTATTACAACTACAGTAGGAACCAGTTTTCCATGAACCACCAGAGTTCAAGCTCTAGAACTCCTGTGATTCTGTAAAGCCGTGCTTGTTACAGCGGCTCATCTGATGATCTTTTTTTTTGCTCCTCATGTTGAGCTGAACAAGCAGCAACAAGAAATCGTAGTAATTGAAGCTGAATTAGAAGATTTAAGCTTCGACAGACTGATTGGTCACTGACTGGCTGGAATATAATCACTTGATATCTTTGATCTAAATAGTGAAAATTAGTTAAAAAAAACTGAATAATTTAGAATCCTTTCACACGATACCCTGTTTTTTAAAGCAGACACAGGCTGGAGTTTAGATTATTCTTCAATCATTCTCATGAGATAACTCACTCTTTTCATCCTCGTAGGAGCCTCCAGAGCTGTTGCTATAGCGGGACTCCAGCCTGTTGTGAGCCCTCGCCCTGCTGAATGTGGATCAATAAAAGGCAGAAATCAGTTTATAGATTATCAGAATCTCCTGTCTTTTAGAAATGTGTGATAAAACCTCTTCTCTAGATTCTAATTATATGTAAAAATGAACTGACCGCTCCTCATTCTCTCTGACCAGCTTATTTTCATCTGTGTCTGGTAGGTTCTCTAGACCGGCCACCACAGTGTTGCTGCTGGAAGTGGTGCCTGCAAGCAAAGCGTATGTCTTAGAAATGAGAAAAGTGCACGCAGTCACAATACTGCTGAAATGCATCAGCTCACCTGTCTGTGAGGTTGAGGCTTTGCTGCTGGCAGCAAAGCGATAGAATGGGGGGTTGTCACAGTGCAGAACAACAGGATTGACGGGATCAGTCTGCTGCAGCTCAAACAGAAGCTCTTCCATAGTCTGAATGGTGTTGTTTCGACACAAGTAGATCACCACCTTTTTAATCTGAAACAAATTCGTTGGGGAGCTCGTTTAACTCCTTCCATTCAGGGTTTGTATACATTTGAAGTGTAAAACTTCCAACGTTTTTAACACTAGTTTCCACAATAATCATTCTGTTATGTTTATCTTAAATTATAAACATATGAGGAAGGAATAAAATGAGGGTTAGGAGGAATAAAAAATAAAAGGCATATGGAAAAAATACTAGATGGAAACAAAGACAAAAAAGGAGAAAAGGAAATAAATAAGGACATGACTAGAGAGAGGAAGGAAGGAAGGAAGGAAGGAAGGAAGGGACACAAAGTAGGAAAGAACCGTTTGAAGGAAAAAATATAGAAAGAAAAAAGGAAAGAGGGAAAGAGAAGAACAAGAATAGAAAGGAAAGGACACAGAAAAGGACACTTGGAGGAAAGGAGAACAATTTAAAGAGCAAGGAAGGATTAATAGAAGGAAGGACATAAGGGAGGAGGGAAAACAGAAAGATAGGATATCTGTGTTTGTTAAACTTTTCTTACATAAGGTAGTAACGTCGTATCGCTGCTGACGCCACACAGACTGATAAGGAACTGCAGGGTGATTCTCAGGTTGTTGCTCCACCTTTCGTTGGAAACAAGAGCATTCCAGGCATTCTCTATCTCAGGTCCAGGAACCTCGTCTCCATACTGATCATGTAAAAGCAGAAATCTCACTTATGCTTCGGAAAATTACTTTTAGTAAATCGAAAAACATTTTACACACAACAAACAATCTCCCTACCTTAGCAGTCATGAACATGAGGTTGTTGAGCACGAGCGAGGTTGCCTGCAACGATCCCCAGCCGTTTCCCCTTAGACTGGGGGTCATGCCCTGAGTCTGACTCCGTGAATCTTCCTCAGGTGTGCAAGGGCTTGAAGCTGGGGGCAGAAGCCCCGTGTCCACCAGCTCAATGTTACTAAGCCATGGCAGCAGGTAGGACAGCATGATCTGTCTGCCATTAGGATGTGTAGTGGGGAAACGTTGACTCACCTCTGTAGGAAGAAACAATAGCTCATAAAAAATGATTTCTGCAGAATTTACAACCTCTGTACATATACAACCTACATTTAAAAGGCTTTTCTAAACCAAAGCTTATTAAAGGTACTATTTCCTGTGGTGGAGGTGAAGATAATAGCGGAGATGTTTTTTCAATATTATTTAATTCTTTTCAGCTGTGGGAGCATATTATTTTTCCTTCTGTTTATCAGGTTTGTAGCAACAAATATATAAACTGAAGGTCTTTAATAGTAAACCTGGACAGAATTAGGACTCCCTGCCATCAATGCCCTTTAAAGCAACTGAATAAAAAAGATAAATATATCCTTATGTTGGGAACAGGTGGAAAATATAGAACAAAAAAAGTGACTTTAATTAGGAATGTATAAAGTCCATCTGTTGGATTATGGAAAAACTGTATTGTTGACTAGATGAAGGATCAACTCAAAGCTGAGTGATGGGAACACTACACAGCCACTACTAGGGGAGTCAGCAGCCAGACCATATAGGAAACCACAGATGTTTGTGACCACCTCTGCCAAGGAGGTCATGTTTTTAGGAGAGTCCACAGGCAGACAGTGCAAGTCAGTGTTCCGGATAATGTGATTTTAATTTTTTGTTTTACTCAGTTTAAGCACTTAGTAGATACTGAAGACTAGATCCAAGCACCCACAGACTGAATGAAAATCTGCTCATTATTCCAAACTTATCAAACTCATGTTTTTTGTTTTTTTTTTTAATAAGGGAATCTTTCCTTGAAATGAGGAGGTAAGTGAGACACTTTGCCAATGGAAAAATACAATTTACCTCTAAAATAAGAAAGAAAAAAAAACAATTGCATTGTCTCATTTCAAGTGCATATTTATCTATTATCTTATTTTAAGAGGAAATATACTCATTCCACTTGTAATCACCTTATTTACCAACTCAGATTAAAGGTAAATAAACTAAACTAAGATTTTTTTTAATTATTTATTGCTCTGCTGTTGAAATTTTACACCCCAGCTGACCATAAAGGGTCATTTTATACCTGCATCCGTATATGGGATGTATCCATTTCAACAAAATATCTTTTATACTAAAACTTTTGCCTCATTGCCTACATTTTTTTTGACAAACCCCTTTTTATTAGTCTGCATTTTCATTCACTGCACTTTGTGAGCAGTATTCATGCCTAAAGTGAGACCGTTACCTGAGAACAGAGGTAGTGTGAGCTCTGGGTACATGCTGGCAAGTTGGATGGAGAGCTGAGACAGGTTGACACTGTACAGTGGAGGTAGGGGGCCGTGCGTTCCATACAAAATATTACTGGGCTTCTGCTCCACCATCCTCTTAGAGTATGCAGAAAGCCGGGACTCCAGCACCTGCACATGAATCAATTAACATTTCCCGTCAAGTCTCAACTTCAAACATAACCTTTTTTCTCCCATTCCTTTGAATATTAATGAAACCGAGCCCTCCTTACCTGCATGAGCTGCATGGAGATTTCATATATTTCCCTGTTGCTGTCTGAGGCCTTAAACAGCACAAGATTGAGCAAAGTCACCAGGTCAAATGGATAATTCCTGGTCAAAAGAAAAGAGACCGTTAGCAGACAGGTACTAAAGTCTATAAATACATATATATATATTTAAAAATTACCAGAAAAGCTTGTAAAATGTGGGAAATTAAAGAAAACCGGTATTGGGAAATTAAGCTTAGCTTTAATAACCTCCTTTTTGGTGGATGTTTGGGGGCAACGTGAGCGATTACCAACCTGTTGCCGCAGACCGTGGCGATGGCCTTGAAGCAGCCAGATGCCAGTTGGTGCGATCCTGTGAAACAGCGATCCACAGCCCAGTTGAAGAGATTAACTTGGTCTGGGTTGAGTTCTAAAAGCAGGATGACCACTTCACACCCCAGACGGTGCACCTGAAGATAGACATAGCTTTGGTCAATTTAATGAATTCCTAATAAACAGCACAGAGACTTTATAGCAAAGCCAGCAGGGCAGTCTACCCGTAGGTCGTGACAGGCCAGGATGTTGTCCAGCCATTTGTAGAGATATCCATCAGTGGACAGACCCACATTGTCAAAAACTGGACCGCAACAGAGAACTGCTGACATGGCCTGGAAGATAAAAGCATAGTTGCTGTTAAGGCTTTCTCCAAGTAGACGGAAAAGAGAAAAGATGTGGGTATACTTTACCTTAAGGGCACAGTACTGATAGCGAGTGATCTGGTGATTGCGATCGCTGTAACGATCGAGGGGAGTAAACATTACGCTGAAGGGTCCGGCCCACTGGCTGAAGAGGATGAAGAGATGATGTCTCAGTGATTGCTGAGGGAACAGGAAGCGCCTGTGGTGGACTGTGGAGATGAGACAGTTAGACTGACCATTTAAATCTGCATTTGTTCTCTAAGAGGAAACCAATACAAGGCTAAGAAAGAGTTACCTGGAATACACTGGATGAGATTAGCCACCATCCCACTAAAATGAGCTCTGATATCTTTAAGGACATCCAGCTCTTTCTCATTTTCTGCTTCCAGAAGCATCCGGGTTAGATCAACATACTCCAGGAACAGCGCCCCTAGTGCCAAGGAATCACGCTCCAGAGCCCCATTAGTGCTTTGGAGAAAGAAAGATTACAGTGAGACTAGTAAAAGAATGTTATAGGAAACCCCTAACAAAAAATTATAAACAGTGAGGTACTTACAGAGGCGTTTAACATTCTATCTACCCTTTAATGTGCTTTAAGGTTTTATCTCATGGATGCTTAAAGAAAATAGTAAAATAGAAAGAAAATGATGCACAATTAATAAAATATCTAAAAAGGCTGAGCTAAATAGATTTTCTGCCCTTAATGCGCTGAGCAGCCTCTCTGTTTAGGCCAAACCAGTTCATCTCCACAGCATCATGCCTCCACCATCATGACGGATATTTAGGATGATGGTTTCGGTGGGGTGGGAGTAGCAGTGGCAGTTTTGAGGCAGAGCGGGCAGTTACCTGTCACTGATGACTCCTGCGCTGGCCAGCAGCTCAAAGATCCTCAGCAGCTGCAGTCTGAGGAGATCCCGCCTCTCTCTACGTTTTTTATTCTGAAAGAACGAAAAGCTGCTGTTAGTTTAACGCTGCTAAAATATAGATGCCAGCGAGTATTGTAGAGAGCCAGGCTATCAGTAATTAGAGGCAGTAAAAACCCTTTTATGAAGAGTTTTTCTGTAATTGTGTTACCTCAGGTCTACGCTCCAGAGCTTCCTTCATCAGTGGATGCAGCTCTTCAACGAGCTCCCTGTAAATCAGACACAGCAAAAATTAAACATCAAGCTCCAAACTGACAAAATAGGACAATGAAATCTTAGCTATTAGAAAGAAGAATTTACTTCATGGAAGTTTAATTATGGATAAAAATTTATTTTCAATCTGATACATTGTATTTTTTCTTTTGCTAAACTCAATGCAACGGCAGGCAAATCGGCCTGGGTCAAATGTTATCTCTTAAATCACAACGAGGGCATTTTCTCAAACACTCTGGGTTAAAAATAGACAATCTTTTATAAATGAGGTTCCTCCCTGTCCCAATAAGAAGCCTGCACTCTGTACAAATATGTGATACATCATTCTCTCTATAAGAACTCCTCTTTCACAGCAGCAAAGCTTTTTTCCTTTTCATTGAAAGTCACAGAGGTATGCTACTTATTTGAGCTATGGCAGCAATGTGGAGGCAACTGGGAGTAAGTAATGGATGCAGAGAGCATAAAAACTGCTAATCAAGTTGTTCTCATGTGATAAGGTCAGAACAACAATGACAACTCGTTTTCCACTGGAATCCACACCTCCTGAACTTTTACACATTTTGTCCTGAAACAAGCAAAAAAACCTTAAGATATTTTATAGCTTTCGTTTTCTCATGATTTGAAACTAAACAGTGGATCTTTGTGAAACAGAATAAAGCGTCCCCTTTACAATCAGTTCCAAAGAAAATTATAACAAACTCTTTTTGGATTAAGGTGAAGGTTTAACACTTGGATAAGCTTTAAAAAGACCTGTTTTAATAGTAGTGTTTATGTTGGAAGGAAAATGAAACTCTGCATGAATCTTTATCAGGTTTTCTTCTAGTATTACTCTGTATTCGGCTACAGTCAATTTCCCATTCACACTAAACACCTTAAAGGTGTAGTGGAGGATTTTGGCGAATTCTTGTAAAAAGACCTGCCCTCTCCACTTAAAAAATAAAAAAAAAAGCACATGTACAACCCTGTAGGCGCTTCAGAGAGGAAACGCCTATTAAACGTGTGTGAGAGCATGCAGGAGCCCATTTCTCCTCGTGCATGCTCTGTTTAAAAGTTCATACAAGCTTACGTTCCAAAAGAAGATTTACAATTTTTCCATTATGTCAGACTCACCACCGATAAATAAAAATAAGGATGAACACGAAGGACGGCTTCACGTAAACATATCACCAGAATGAGAAGGACCACTTATTTCGATGATCCACCCGGTGAAAGAACATCCTCCACTATACCTTTAACGGTTCCTGCTGAAATCAATAGCCGCCACGCCATGATGCCACCAACATAAAAATGTTTCCTTTTTACTGTACCTGATTAAGGCTTTTTCAGGTTTTCTATCCCAAATAGGAAACAGAAGTTTTTCCAACTTTTCTCCAACCACTTTTTAAAGCTCCTCCCGAGATGAAATGGTTTTCTAGATGCTTCTCTGATCAATGCTTTCTTTGCCAATCACAGGTTTAAAGGATTTTTTTTTTTCAGTTGCCTCACATTCTTACCAACTTCAGTTGATGGGTTTAACTGATATTCATATATTTCTGTATCTCCATATGAATGTATCTTTATTATGATTATCAACATCTTGATAATTTTCTTATTGCTGCTCATTTAAAAAAAAAAAAAAACTTACAAAGAGGAACCTAAAGAGGTTTGTTGGTCCTCATTTAAGGGTATCAGAGTAAAGGAGGCTATATTCAAAGGTTTGACAAACTTATCAGATTTAAATAACATCTAATTGTTTCTCTTCCAAATGAGCCACTATAATTAGTCCAACCCATGTAGTAACTTATCGTGTGTAAATGGAAAGCAAACTGAACTGAACCGTGCTAGACACAACCGAACCGAGCTCGGCCTCGTTAACCTATCCGAGCTCGGACCGGTCTCGGCATGGATTGGTTTTTCAAGGGTAGTGTAAATAGGGTATTTGTAGTCACGTAACAAAGTGTGGAAAAGACTTCTTCTGCAACATCACGTAGATGTTTTCTGTGCTCTTTGGAAACTATCAGAACACTTAGAGCAAGATAACAAACACTCTTAATGCAACTCACAGCTTTCTGAACAATATACATTTTTTAAACTTCTTAATCTGAGACTGACATGTAGGATGCAAGTCCTGCAGATGTTTATTATTCCTGGTTTTTGTTCAAATACCTGAAGACCAGAGCGTTTGTGCATCCGAACCCCAACACCAGAGACTCTGTGATCTCCAGACTCTCGGCTCTCATCAGTGGGACGAGTTGTTTTAATAACAAGGCCACCGAGGGAGTTCCTATAACCTGAAACAACAACACACGCACACACATATGGATGAGTCAGCATTTTTACAAAAACTGACCAAGCAGAAAAAGCTCTTCTTCTACAGTATCAGTGTTGATGTTAACCGTGTTCAGGATTTTTTCTATTATGGACGTATCAAATGATAAATAACCACTAATATGGCTGTAAGGGTAAATGTAGCATCATTTTGAAACACATTATTACTTTTAAAGGAGTCTAACATGCTTGTTATGATCTCTACAGATATTATTCCTTTATTTTAAGAGATATGGAATATCTCTTTATCAGGTTTTCTTCTAGTAATACTCTGTATTTGGCTACAGTCAATTTCCCATTCACACTAAACACCTTAAAGGTGTATTTTAAGATTTTTTAAAGATTTTTTTTAAGATTATCCATCAATGTATTCCACATTGATGGATAATCTTAAAACAACCACTTTAAAGGATTGTAGAATAAAATTATTTAGCTCAGATTATTTTAAGTCTTCTGCCCATTTTTGATAATCTGTCTAGGATTATTAAGGACCAGGATTACGGAGGACCTAGAGAATCACTGAAACAGTTTTTTTTTTAACATTTAAATCATTTGAAATCAAACTAGAAAAGCATTTTCTAATTGCAAATTTTGAATTGACTTATAAAAGGGGAATTGTAAATTGTATTTATTAATCCATTGTTGGATTCTGGAATTTGTAAATGTAAGTTCAAATCTATTTCAAAACGGAAATTTAAAAAACCACAATTGTTAAATTTGATTATAAATACCTTTCCTAATCAATAAATACAATTACTAATTCATTTTAAAACGTATAATTAGAAAACGCTTTTCAAACTGGATTTCTGTTTGTATGATTTGAATGTTAAATTTGAATCAGCTGTCTTTCTTTCTCAGTGACTCGCCCCGGTCTTCCAGGGAGTGGCTGCCCAGTGGTTACGGCAAAGGGCCTGGAATCCTGAGGTTCCGAGTTCGAGCCCAACTCCCACAGACTGCTACTCTGGGTACCTGAGCAAGACCCTTGACCCCCAATCGCTCCCCTGGCGGACCACGATGGCAGCCCACTGCTCCCCAAAAGGGGTGGGTTCAATGCAGAGAGTGAATTTCTCCAATGTGAGATCAATAATGTTCAATAAAAAAGTAGTTTAAGGTTTTTCTAACTTAACGAAATTAGTTCTTGTCATTTGGTCATGATTAATCGATTATTAAAATAATTGTCAACTAATTCAGTAATAGATTAATGGTTAAATGGAGTATAGAGACTGTAAAACATGCCTTTAGCTAACAGAGCAACCCACTTAGAGCAGTAATTATATCAATTTTGTAAAAAATATATAAACATTTTGCATTTAA